ATCGGCACCGTGTGCAATCGACACCGTGTCCGATCGGCACCGTGTGCAATCGACACCGTGTCCGATCGAGAAATATTGCTGTGTCCGATTTGTAATGTGCGCAATCGGGACTCACTCGGTATTCCCAGGTCAAAATTAACTATTTTTAAAATACTTATTTCCATTTTGATTAGCTCCCTTTTTGTGTAAGCGCCGTCACATATATACAAATCTTCCACCATTAGTGGTATTCTTTCCTAAAGTTAAAGTTAAGAATAAAATAAGTTTTTGTTATTGGGTTTACTGCTCGACATGAGCACAATTTTATCAGGCAAAAATTTGTGTAGCAGAGATATTATTATATAAAACTTACGTCAAACTTGCTCGCTATGAAAAGACTCGCAGCGCCCAGCAGTTGTAGAGTCTCTTTCCCGACTGTCATCTTTGTTAGGTATAGATCGACCAGTTTTACAGCCAGATATAAGGTCTCGTGATTCAACTCAAACGACTCCTGCACCTCGACCATCCAATCGACCAGTAGCGCTCTCATCCATTCCCTCGCCCCTCGCCATGGCGAGAGGCATACTTGCCGAACCATGTAATTGCCGATGGGGAATAGGCGTTCTCGTTCTTTCAGATACTCAAAGATGTCCATCGCATAGTGTGACACCTGGTACGGATCTAGCCAATTCTCGACATCAAAGTCCCATTGGACACCTTCGGGTAATTGTCTTAAAAAAGAATAAAAAATAAGTTGAACCGATAATAAAATAACTTACGATAATTTCTTCGCGCGTAAACGGGATTGATCTCCTCGGCATCAGCTCCCTGCCGTCAATATATACTTGTTATAATTGCAAATCGGAAACGTACCTCGAGTCCAGCTCTTCTGCGATCAACGAAGTCGGGATCGAACGTGTCAGTCGTCACTTTCTGCCAAGCGTAGAGAACCTTCTTTTCCGGCAGCGGTGGTAACACGATGTAGGGATACAAAATCTCGGAATAAGCACAAAGCAATTCAATTCAGTATATCGCTTGCACGATTACGGTGTTACTGCCGTTTCGCGTACGCGCGTATGCGCGCGTTGT